TTCTAAAACTGCTCTCGTTTCTTGCTTAAAATGCAATTACTCGAGGTTTGTAACAAACAAAATATTCCTTGAAGGACATAAAACAGTACAGCAGAACTTGCTTGGATAGTGTAACAAAATCCGTGTGCATCTCTTTGTAAGAAGGGCATGCATTCAGTCCGCAGTTGTAACCTGAAGGTTTTTTGATACACACCGTTTCTGTGAACATTTTCAGACACTATGGATCAGAGGTATGGTTTTGTCACTGGAATTACCACTAGCTAATATTTTGATATTAACAAGGTTACCATATGTCTTTATTTTGAATGGAGAGGATGAGTATTGGAAGCAGATAACTCTGTGGCAATTGCCAGCAGCTGACAGGCATGTATTTTTCACTTTATCTTACATCTGCTGTGTGTTTTGCTTTTTCCCATAATGGCCAATATTGCATTGATCCAGAAACATGTAGAAAAGAGACTTCTACTGCAAGGTTGATTTGGTCTGCTGCTGCAGCTTAAAGGGTCCAGCTGTGGAAGCTGCCTCTCAGTCTAGTTTTGCACCAGGTTGAATGTATGAGTAATGTTAAATGAAGATACGGTGAGAAACAAGGTATATATATATGACAGAAGTTTCCTGGAGAAGCAGACTGTGGTATGTTTTTCCCTCACTGCTTCAAAAAGCCATGTCTATTTCTCAGGACTTATCCAAGCCGGGCAATTGAGGAACTGCCATAGGGGTTCCATGGTTTGTTCATTAGTTACAGTTAGCTTTTACTGCTGGGTGGCCATTGCTTTGACAGCAAATCAGTTTTTTATATAACATTCAGTGAACTAAAGGCAGTGGAATAGTCTCAATTTAATTCAATGAAGGTCGGATTTAGCCCTGTTTTGTTTCCCTGCCTGGTTGTAAACTGCTGTGGAAACTTGCAGCCAGCAAAACCTGTGCAAAATGGTCATCAGCATACAGTCCGACAGGGAGGAGCAGAGGCTGTAAGCTGGGACTGCAGGTCCTTTAAACACTTGCAACTAACTCTGTTGAAGAAGAACCAAGTTCTTTTCAGGATTTAGACACGCACTAGACCTTAGGTATGTGTGTTTCTCTGTGTCTGTCTTTCTCTCATAAATATTTTCATTAGAGTGAAAATAATGTGTCAGTTTTATAAAAAGCCTTTACATGTATTTTTCCATTGAACTTATTAGGTAGCTTGCTTCTACATATACATAAAATTGTTGTGTGTATACTTGTATTTCTTTTTTAAGTGAAGAAGTGGCCATATGATCAGTTCAATGCAGTTAGCATTAAGTCTGTGTAGCTGTAGGGTATGTTTTCTTTATAAAGCTTGTTTAATTTGCAGTGTGTACAGAAAAGAAAAGGAAGCTTACAGTGCAAAGGGCAGGACATCAGTTTTTTACAATCTCATTCCATACTGCAGTCTGGATTCTTAGCCCTGAATTATACTTCTTGTCCATATGATTCTGAAGAGACTGAGGCAGAAAAGATTACTCTGGCGAGAGAATCACTGATGTGATTTCCTGCAGCATGTACCCCATTATGTTTTCCCAGTGGATGTTGAGAAAATTAATGTATAAGAAGCTACAATAAATGAGGTTCAGTTTTGTATTTATGCAGACTTCCCATGTGCTTTTGATTAATTTTGTTTCTGGCATGTGTGCAGTTGACTGAGATGAAGTCTTCCAGAAACAGAAATAGAGGCGGATACAGCTGGTACAGGCTAAACGTTCTTTGACCTAACCTAAACTGTCTTTGACAGATGTACTTCAGATTTCAACTTGGCACCAGTGGAGTTACGCTGTTGTAAAACAAGGACAAATAAGCAATTCAGGCTCAAGTAGTTTCACAGTACTGATTATGGAGAATTGAATGGACAGTTATGATGACGATGATCAGATTATGCTTATTGTTGTTTTTTCTAATTTAAGGTCAGTGAAAAACAGATTTTGACGTTCAGGTTTTAGGCATGTTACGGCTATGTTAGTAATTGAGTTCTGCCCTTGGAATGCTTATCTGTGTTTTGCCTTTCTGTCTCATCAGCTTTGCTTTTATTGTGTGACTGCCTCAGAAACTCAGCTATAGCTGCTCTTTCAGGCCTTAAGAAGGGTGATAAGGGGTTTTGAGCACCTCCCATATGAAGTCAGGCTGAGAAAGTTGGGGCTGTTGAGCCTGGAGAAGAGAATCTGCATGGAGACCTCATAGCAGCCTTCCAGTATCTAAAGGGGGCCTACAGGGATACTGAAGAGGGACTATTCGTTAGGGAATTTAGTGGTAGGACAAGGGGTAATGGGTTCAAAATTAAACAAGGGAAGTTCAGGTTAGATATAAGGAAGAATTCTTGTTCTTTACTGTGAGGGTGGTGAGGCACTGGAGTGGGTTGCCCAAGGAAGTGGTAAATGCTTCACTCCTGGCAATGTTCAAGGGCAGGTTGGACAGAGCCTTGGGTAACATGGTCTAGAGTGAGGCTGGAACTAGATGGTCTTAAGGTCCTTTCCAACCCTAACCA